TCTACCAGCAAAAGATAAAATCCTAGCTTTCTAACTAGTAAGAAGATCAATAATTTTATTCATCAATGGCTAAAAATTATAAATTAAAAGTTGTTTGCGAGAAATCGGCAAACCTAAGTATTTCAAAGTGTTATGAGAAATAGGGATACCTAAAATCTAACCAATACCTTTAGCAATGATACACCCTTTAGAAAAAATAATGGAGCTTTTCTCTTCATATACCAGCAGCCCACAAACCATATGGAAATATTCAAGAATCACTTTTAACTTTTCATCATTCAAAATAGAAGTTTTCTTAAAAATAAGAACATCATCTGTGTATAATAAATGAGAGATAGAATGCTCACAAGCAATAATACCCTCAAAATTAACCACTTGAAACTTATCCTCAAGAAGATTAGTAAAAACATCCATAATAATACAAAATAGATAAGGAGAAAGAATACAACCTTGATGAAGCCTAGAAAAAATTAAAGAAACCATTAAGAGATCCATTGAGCACAATTGAGCAAAAAGTATCATCAATGCACCCTTTAACCAAAGAAATAAACACTAGCAGAAAACCTTTTTGAGCCATTATATTAAAAAGAAAATCTCTAGAAACTGAATCAAAGGCATTTTGAATATCCAATTTGGAACAAAAAAAAACTTTTCTTTTTTTCGGCAATTAAACCCTCTTAATAATTCTGCAACTAGAATAATATTATCTGTAGAAATTCTCTTTTTAATGAAACTATATTGACTATTATGAATAATAATGGGCATAACATCCTTCATCCTTAACGCTACAATTTTAGCAATAGTTTTATAGAAAATATTGCAAAGAGAATTTAGCCAAAAATTAGAAACTTGAGAAGCATTAGCATTCTTAGGAATAAGAGTAATAGTCGTTGCTTTAGCTACTCGAGATAAATACCCAATATTGAAGAAATAAAAACCACATTGCAAAAATTAGGCCCAACAATATCCCAACTCTTCTTAAAGAAGTCAAATGTAAAATCATCCGGACTTGGCGTAGAAGAAGTAAAGCCAAAGAAAACTACATTCTTAATTTCCTCCATAAAAAATTGGTGCCATTAAAGTTGTCAAACTAGCATCATGAATTTTCTTTTGAACCAGAATGGAAAAAGCTGAAGAAAAATCCAACTTAGAAGCATTGAATAACTTCTTAAAATGATTAACAAAAACCTCAGCCAACTCTTTGGGATTAGAAATAACCCCATTAAAAGAATAAATGGCATTAATACTATTAATGTTACGTGTGAAAATGCTCTTATGGCACTAAAAAGTTCGTTAGGGATGTTAAGCCCTATAGAACTGACCCAAGGCTAACAAAGAGAGAGGTGAATTGGATAACTTTAAAACCAAAGATAAAACTCAAACCAAAATCACCACATAAATCAAAGTGCGGAAGAAAATAATGCGGAAGCAATAATAAGAAAGAACACACCAGATTTATAGTGGTTCGGTCAAACATTGACTTACATCCACTCCTTGGAGGCACCCTCCAAGTATTGCACTAAACAAGTGTCTCTCCTTTAGCCCCCACAGCTAGGCGGAGAAGCCCTAACAAATCACTTCCACCTTCCCCGGTGCGGTGGAGTCGCCGGGTCCTTTGACACCAAAGAGATCTTCTTCTTTGGTGAACTTACCCTGAGGCAAGCCTTGAATCTGATGGTACTAAGGTGTGAGTTCGCTGGAGCAACCGTGTGGAATCCCCTCCACACTCCCTTGAGTTCCCCCTCATAGGATCTTCTCCCTCTCAGACTTCACCCGTTCCTCACTCTCTTTCAAGCTCTCTCTTCAAGTATCCCCCA